TGATGAATGAGGAGTCAAAATGCCACCGCGGTTCGTCCGACTGTGTTCAAATCCTGCAAGGGTTTGCCTCATCTGAACAAGCGTTAACAGCATCTGCAGCGGCGTGTCGCCTGACAGCGTTTGTAACAGTGTTGTGAGTGTTGAGTTAATGCGGTAGTGACCAGAATGACCACAACTGTGGTCAGCAGTGCATGCAAGCAACGACGGCCCAGTGACGGTGCGTTGTCGGCGGAGACTAGGAGGCGCTCTCGTAAAGCCTCTCGTCACTGGTGTCCTCTTTTAATTGGCTGCTGTATTTGCTGTATCGGGAGTGGTAGGCGCCAGCTTCTTCTTCTTCATCCTCGTCGTCGGATCTACCGAAGTAGTAGTGTCTTCGACCAGTGGGACTGGAACAAGAAAAAGAACAAGGAGATGCTGATGTTATCAAAAAATTGAGCGGAAAGTAGAACAGTGGTAGAGATAGATCTGTGCTCGGGCGTGGTACAAAACCTGGCAAGGCATGCAGTGAATGGGAAGAGGAAGTGGGTGACCGAGAGTTAAAACTAAAAACAGTAGAAACTGTAGAAATGTAAAACAAACAAACAAACAAACAACCAAACAGACAGACAACAATGATCCAGAGTCAGGCTGGAAACGGAGGAGACGTCAGATTTAATCTTGTCCTGAATCGTTGGTATTGCTGCAGTTTGTCCTCCAGTCACTACTGACATCAATGTAGGTTAGTAGATTATGTCATTTAAGGCTGACACACACACACACACACACACACACACACACACACACACACACACACACACACACACACCGTGTGGACATGATGTATTCCCCAGCCTGTTATCCTAACCAAAAAAACCCAAATTTATCCCTTAATCTGACCTGAATTCTAACTCCAAACTAAATCTCAATATATCTTCATTCAGCAGGGATCTGCAACATGTCCCCAGAAGAATAAAGTATACTTTATTTTACTAAAACGATCCAATATATACAAAGAGTATAGCAACAACACAAACACACACACACAAACAAACAGTTGTTAGGTACAAAATTAGTTGTACGAAAGATGTGAATTTAATAAAACAAAACATATCTAAGTGAATAAACACATATATTAAATAAACATATATAAGTACATATACATAAATGAGTTAGATTTCAAACACCTTCCCTGCATTAGTTCAGTTCTAAAGTAAATGTGCACAAAGGGTTAAATGAATCTGACACGAAGCTTAAATATGGCAATCTGAGGGTTAATTATTTTCATCCACGCTTCACCTTTGATGAATTTGCTACTCGGGGTTAAACAATGCTAAGGGTCTCATTATGCCTGCAGTTACGGGAAAGGGAAGAAAAAAATGTTATGGCTCCTCTTAATTGACTGTTATTTTTACTTTTCTGGGACAATAAATCAAAGCGACGTCCTGGGAGGAATTCGAGGCACACGTACTCTCATTAAGATTCGGCTTCATACTTTAGGAACATGTAGTAGTGCAGATCAAACGTCATTAGCATGCCCGGCACGTCAGGGGATCAACACGGTGGCAGAAGAATTAGAATTCAAAACTGACAAAGCTAACGTCATTCACAATGTAGAAACAGATTTGATTAGATCACATCATGCGTCATAAAGCACTCCTCAAGGTTAGGTGCACGCCAGGCATCCAACCTACTGCTGACTTCAGTCGCTGTCCGGTCGATACAGGTACTTCATCATCAGGTTATCAACTTTCTTCTTCCTTTTCTTTTCGTCTTTTTTGTTCAACGGCTGGCTTTCGCTCGGCACCTCCGTTTCCTCCTTCTCTGGGCTGGAGACCTTTCTACCTGGGGCCTTTTTCACACTGTTGGAGCTTCTGTAGGAAATGGTGGAGGCACCGGAGCTCGACTCTGAATCGGACTCAGACTCTGAAGATGAAGACGATGAACTGGATGAAGACCGACTCCTTTTCTTGGACTTTTTCTTTGACTTCTTAGAGCCTTTCCTGGAGCTGCTCCTGTGACGCTCGTTGGAGCTGTCAGAGTCTGAACTACGGCTCCTCTTCTTCTTCTTACTTTTGCTGCGATGTCGGCTGCTGCTGCGGGTGCTTAAGCTGCTGGCACTGCGAGATGATCTCATGCAGTCCACAGCTGATGAAGAGCGTCTAAGGCTGCTGTTGGGGCGAGAGCTGTTTCCGTTACTGACACTCTTGCCGTCGTCCTCGTTCTTCTTGGACGTTCCTTCTTCTTCACCCTCTGAATCCTCCAAGCTTCTGCGCTTGAATTTGATCGGCTTGAAACTCAGCACCTCGTTGATGGCCTTCTCCAGATCGGGGTCGAGGTAGTTGCGGTGACTGACTGGTCTGATTTCTAAGTCATCAACAGGGTCGTCATTACTCCTGCTCTGTGGCGGTGGCATGGAAACACTGCGGCCCCCGGAGTGAGGACTGAAGGCTGACCTCTCGGTAAAGGCGACACTTCGACTATCATCCATGTCGACATCAAACTCACTCAGGCGGCAACTTCGAGCCACAGATATCCGAGAATCGGCCCTGCTGACACTCCCAGGACTGCGACCTCCTGAGCGTCTGCTGAAACAAGGACTGGTGGGAGTACTTGCATACGCTGACCACTCACTTCTGCCATCGTCCAGACGTGAGGCGCTTCGGCGGCGTCTGAGAGGGCTTGAAAGACCTAAGCTGATAGTAGATTTGGCGTCATCTTCTGGGCTTAAACCGAGGCGCGTTGATGTCCGGTTGGACGCAGGGAATGATATGGTTGATTCTTTGTCAAAGTCTCCCCAACGACTGTCCAGACCCTTCCTGGCTCGGCTGTTGGCCTGGGAGTAGGCCTGAGAGATGACCGACTCCCTGTCGTCCATGTCATCTCCAACCTGAGACCTCCTCCTGGAGGCGACTGAGAAGGTGTCATCTTGAAGGTCTGAAAGTTTGGATTTGGTCTTCAGGAAGCTGAATGAATCTTCTGTGTCAGCGTTTTCCTTCAGGGAACTGAACAGGGCATTTCCTTTGGAGTCAGGGTTGGCTCGTTTCCTGTAGCTCAGAGAGCTCATCACCGACAGAGGCCTGCTTGTTTCTACATCTTTGCCCTCCTTATTCAACTCTTTCCAGTCCTTACCCTCTTTTGACTCTTTTCCTTCTTTTGCATCTACATTTACAGCACATCTAAAGTGAAACGACAACGGAAAAGTAGGAGGGAATGAAAAGAGACAAAATGGGTCAAGTGAAGGTGAGTTGAGAGAGAAAAAAAAAGAGATAAATGAAATGGAAAAAAAAAAAGCTGACAGAAAATGTTAAGGCTGAATTTAAGAGAATAAGATGAGATATGGGCTAGAACAGTGTCTCCATACCTTTTACAGCTATGGTACAATTTTTACATGATATAAATCCCACAACAAACCACCAAACAAAATCACAAAATTGTTTCAATTCACCGGACTTTACTTAATACACAGTATTAAACCGTGCCTGTTTAGTTGAACATAACCCTAATCTACTCACAGGAATCGAAGGAAGACAACAGCAAGGCTATTTTTTTGTTTAATAGCCGTCTGTTGCCTACTAAAGTCAGAGCTTTTGATTTTTTTTTTTTTGCCCGTCACCGTCGCATTGACGAACAAAGACATCATTTGCAGTAAATAATTAACTGTTTTCAGACCAATTAAGTGACATCGATTAATTTCCCACTGTTCACACAATCTCTCACGAGCACAGTGGTTGAGAATCACTGGACTAGAGGATATATTATGGGCTGCAGTAGAAAACTACAGAGCGACAGATACAGTAACAGATAAAAGGGGATTTTGAGAGGCTTTTCCAGCAGCACGGTTGTTTGTGGTTTTTCTCCTTGTTTATTCTGCATAAATGTTGAACATGATGAGTGTTGCTGATTGAATTAAGGACTTAAATCTTGTAAACACAGTCACGGTGGAAATTCATAATGTTAAATGTTCCTAATCCAAACACAGGCTTTTAGCAAACAAATCTTTCCCAAACAAAAAGCTATACATTTTTTACAGTGTCAGGAATCTTTAGAGCAGAAGAATCGCGCCGTGGAATGAGTGTGTTTTGTTTATTTGTGAAGTAAATGATTTCTCATTCATTTTAAATGTTTGTTTTCAGTTAATATAAAGGCTGAGGAATTGAAATAAAACTTGAATGTAGGTAAAAAAAGAACTATGTAAAATACAACTTGAAAAAGTATGAATTCCTCAGAAAGGGTCAGTGATTCTTTGTTTAAATCTGTGATTATAGCTTTAGAGAAGTTCCACTAAACGAGATTCTAAAGTTTTTAAAGTTGGTTGTGCCTCAGCTAAAGGTGGGAGTTAAATCTTCTCGTAAGGAGACAAATCTGGGGCAATTCAAGCTGTCAGCTTGCAGACATATCCATTAATCTCGGAGAGCGTCTCAGGTAGACTTGCCAGCTGGCTATTGGGCGTGTTGATAAATCTTCGGCTGAGAGGGTGTGTTTTTTAGAAACAAACCCTCGTCCCCGGGAGCATGACAATAAAGTGAGGACTGGAAAATACATTTAAGCTTAGCAGGAACCTTATTCCAACTAAGTACACAGCTCAAACTGCTTTATTTCCACAGGGTGAAATCATGCAAACCGTTTTATCCCAAGTCCGAAAGCATTGAGAAGTCTCTCTGAAAAAGATAGCTCTCTGAAAAGATAGTGATAGCTGCCACCTTATACTGACCTGGAACTCTTGAGGCTGCCATCATCTGACAGGTTCTTGGCAGAACCTTTGCTTTTGGACAACCAGGACTTCACCCCATCCACACGATCCTCCACCTCAGAGTCTGTATCAGAATCCCCCTGACTGCTGAGCAGTTAAAGATAGAAAAATAAGTCAGAAGGAGCAAAGGACAAGCAAGATGTGACAGCAGCGTTGGAACCGCAGAAGAACAGATGCTGTTATTCACCAAGGATGGAATAAGGTAAAAGGCGTGTTAGTGAGTTTAAAGAGTCAGCGTTGGCAGAAATGTTCCCGCACTTCCCCGTCTGTTGCTCCTGCTGTGCAGGGAAGACAGAGTCGACAAAGCCTCCCACTGTTAGTCTGAGGCATGTAAACCCAGCACATGCAGTACACAACCAAACATGCCCCATACCAGGCTGTAGAGTCTGAAGTTACACACTCTTGTCACACTTGATGGGCCACACCATGGATTACCAGGTAGCAGACGAGCAACACAAACTGAACGCTTTAACTTTGTCGAGTACTTCAGAGGTAGAATAACGACAGAATGTTGAGAAACTTGATGACGCTGCGTAAGGTTGTTGCAACTCTTTTCTGTTTTTATGACCTGGCCTTTGTTTATAGTGGGGATCAATCCTGTGGTGTACAATAACATTTGAGTTTATCGTCCATTTCTTTGGTGATTTCCTGTGTGTGTGATTGTGGGATCATCAAGGAATAAATCCCACCTTCAACATTTTACAAAACTTCATTAAATTTTAATCTGGTTTGACTATGTGCAGGATGATAGTTATTGTGGGTTCATTTAGAAGAATAATGAATAATAAATGGAATTTAAAAAAAAACACACATTCCGCTGTCGTATTTTACTTGAACAAGTCATTACAACAGCCTCACTGAAGGTAATTTAGTGTTTAAAGCATGGCTTTGTGCTTGACATTATAGAACTAGAAAAATAGTTCGACTGTGTTTTTTCTGTGTTGGTCTCCTGTGGGAATAGAGTGAAGAACAATTTGTTGTAAATTGTGCGGAAATTAAACATGCAGGTGGTTAAAATTATATTATTGTCTCCAATATTATTTTCTTCAAAACTAATTTATAATATAATGCTGATATGCAGAAGTAAAAGCAATAAAAAAAAGTCAGCTGGAGATGGCAGATTTCATACTGCACAGTATGGCAGAGAATGATATCATCATACATACACGCTCATGCACACACACACACACATACACACTAAAATTTGCATATGTACACACACATAATTTCAGTTCCTGACTGGGCACGGCACACTTTTTTTCTCCCTCTCAATTATCATTACACGTTCACAAGCCACCGCGAGCCGTGGAGTAAAACAGAGGGCTTGTCATAAAATTTGACACGGATGAAAAGAGCACAACTCTCATTAAGTGCTGTCAAAGCCCAGTGCTTGTGTGGTGCTGTGAAATTAAGTTGTTACAGCTTAATAGTCCTACAGAGACAGCAGAGGGGTGGCACCACATCTCTGTTTTCATCTGCATCAGAGGAAAAAGAGAGGCGGCAGAGGAGCGTTTTCTCACAGAGGTCAGAAGGCTCCAGGACCAGCACCTATAATTAAAATCATTAGCAGTCACAGACAAACCTCCCTACACCTCAAAAGAATTTCAAACATGGGCTCATCCAGCAAGATCCGCATTGAAATCTATTGTAATGAATCCATTTTTCGATGGTAATGGTAGGATTTGTGCCAAAGGAGAGGGCAGGGGATGGATCAAAGCAGGGATGAAACGTGCTGAACTTCGACTCGACACTGTGAGACAATCAGTGGAATTGCTGCAGTCGACTTCAATATTGAAAGTGCAGCCGAGTCTGTCTTTTCAGCACTGCAGAATTTTTCAAAAAAAGCACTGTTTGAACAGCGTTGAATAAAGAGAAGGGACGCTCACACATCAAACTGAGTTGTGTTTTCTAATCAACACCTTTAGATCTGCAGCCTAATGAAGATCTATTTATGCCAACGCTTCGTTTTCTCAACAGAATTGCTTTAAATAAAAACTTGAGCTTGATTAAATAGGAAAAAAAAGTTCTTGCACTTCACTTCTTTTTTACCTTGAGGCTATAGTCAAAATACCTGGTAGTATTAACGACGGTGTTTATCGACTGTGAAACGGTTGTGCCAAAAAACACTTTCCATGTAGCGGACTTGAACCTAGTTCATTACTGAACTCTTTTGCATTTTGAAATGCATTTGAACAACGTCAATGATTTTTTTAAAGCTGTACATTTTACATTAGCATTAAGAAAGGCTCCACTGTGCCTTTGTATAAGTACAATAGAGAATTAAACAAATAAATGATTGCAAAGGTGTTTCAGACCTACCACGATAAAAATATGACATTTTCAGAATAAACAAATCTACATAAATGGCCAAGTTTCAAACAGTGTCTGATTTGTCTGAACTACCTACACTTTTAGAGCCACAAGGGCCTTTCGAAACATATCTCATTTTGCTGCAGAGTTTATACAAATTAAAAAATAAAAACAGAATCTATGTTTTACTCATTAGGTTAAGCATTAATTTGATAAAAAAGGTTTATGTGTTCGTGTATACTGATTTTACCAATAAAACAAAAACAACAGGCTGTGACTTAATTCTTCTATTCCTTACTAACAACCCTAGTGCTGAACACTCATGCACTTAGTGTCCAGACTCACCAATCTGGTCTTTAGATAAAGCCACATTGGGGGGCTGGGTGTAATTGAGCCCCTTCATACACGCTGTCATCTGAAATTTATATCCTCGGCCACCATACCATTAGTTAAGGCCGGCTGAAAGCCTTGGGGAGGCAAACAAACAGAAGGCTGAGGAAACATTAATTGTCTGTGACATTCTGCCACCGTTGGTTGTACATCTCTGTTACACACTATTACATTCATCATTAACGTCTATAGATCGTCCTGCTCTTTCCTACTCCCTCTCACCCCTCTGTGAGTCCCAGGGTCTTAAAGGCGCCGCCGTTTATGCCTCTAATATAAAGGGACTGTCAAACCAGTGACACACACATATGTAAGCTCTCATGAGAAGGCGACGGTGTTGATCTGTTCAGCAGAGAATTTCACTGCTGTGAAGTGAGCAGCGACAGTGCTGCCATGTGAAATCCAAATCAAACCCTTTTTCTTACACCGAGGAGGAAAAACAATTACTTTGAAATTGGAATTTTTGAAAAGTCAGTTGTTTAAAATCCACTCATGCAGTTTAAATGAGCTCCTTATAATCAAGCACTTTCTTTAATTAGTGAATTTCCGAAGATGCCCAACTGGTAAATACCCATGGGGTAAATACAGAAAAAATATATATATAAACATCACAGCTGGTCTGGAAAAGCCTTAGGCACCACCAGGGGGAGCGGCAAAACATTAGGGAGAAGAAAGATGTCTGGACCAAACTGCCGTCATTATGACACTGCTCTGGATATGAAGATAACAAAGGAGTGTACGCGTTGCACAACATTTACCAAACGATTTAGGTGTTCAGGGAGGAAGGAGCAGAAGATACCAGAGCTGTGAACATTTTGCGTTGTCCTGTCCTCAGGGTATATGTTTTTAGACAGCTACAGTAAAGGTGGCCAAAAGGTGGACATAATAGATAGAACTTCATCGAATGAGAAACAATAAATACCATCTATTCCTGTCAAAACAAGGAGATATTGTCTGGAATGAAATAGTGGATTTGGCCGTGCTTTAATTTTGTCCTTGTTCCCTGACTTTAATTCAGCCGGGACATGATCCATTTGATTTAAGTGGTCTGAATAAATAAATGTCTTGTTTATTGCTCTACTGCAAAATACAGAGATTTACTCTCTTTACGTCCTCCAAATAATATTCCTGTTTGAAAAGGCTTGGTCTTTTAAAAATAAATTATATATATATATTTTTCAGCTAAAAGACTTACCTGTAATTTTGCCTCGGTGACATCACTAAATACTCTAAGGTATACAACTGGGTGTAAAAATCAATACACAACCATGGAGAACAAGACACGTTTCCTGCAGGATGTTTGAGGACTGCATTATTTAACAGTTGCGATTTAAAGGTTGGTGTAAAACACGCCCACCTTTGCTCCTGTCAGAGGGTGATACACTGCTGAGACCCCCCCCATCAAGCTGTTGAGAAGGGTGATGAAAAATTAACAGAGCTCAGGGCCCAGGGGCCAACAGGTCGACTGACATGACAACAGAGGCGTCCAACGTGACGCCAGCAGACAGAACCTAGACAGTGATAACAGATGGAGCCTCGGCTTCATCAAGGGTAAGTGTGAGGAAGCTTGAAATCATCATGGTTATCCATATGAGGAACTGTAGGGCTGAGCTGTGCCTCATGCTGGGACATTAAGTCAGTTTCTGTCAGTGGCATTCATGCATCTCAGCATGTGAGGTCATGCAGTCAAACGTTGAGTAAACTGTGGTTATGAGGGAACCTTTTAGCTCTGTCGATGATGCACCATTCTAAAGTCCTAACATGAAGATATATCCCATAGATTTACACTTGAACAACGTTTTCTTTAAGAATTTCCCAAAACACCAACTTTATATTTTTATTTTGTTCGATTCCCAGAGGAACCACATGCTTGGCGCTTGCCAATCTGCTGCTAACACAAGAATTTCTCAAATATGGGATCAATACAAGTTATCAGTATTTATTTTACTGGCTAATTGTTAAGACTGCTGAATGCTGCATCATTTTCAGCTGGGGGTGTGGGGGGGCAAGTTATCAGAATTCTGAGAGTCTCACGTTCGGTTCTTTCTTCTCTGATACTTTGTCACCATGTCCTGCAAACTGCTCGATGTGAAGATGACGATGACAGAAACACAAAAAGAACACAAAAGAAAATACAAAAAGAAAACAATGACAAACGAGACTCAAGTGAAATAAAAGTGTGCTTCAAAAATAAAAAAAGAATATTGTGGATGGAGTGGAAAATTATGTGGAAATGGGCTCCTTCACTTCACTCAGATACAGGCTCAGTCATACTGTAAGAGGCACTGTAATTTAAAGACAGTAATATGATTGTTGACATCCAGCAAAAATACAAAACAATCTTGTTTTTCCTCCTTAAATCTACCTGTGTCACAACAATATTTTGACCGATTTGACAGATCAATGAAAGGTACCAGTGACTAGTACTGTATATTCTTTATATTCAGTTTTTGGAGATCATATCTACCATGTAATGCTCTGACATATTTTAATATTTCATTTTTGAACCACTTGGATTCACCCTGAGAGCTCATCCTGATCCGGGGTTTCAGAGTCAGAGCAAAGAAGAGCTTCAAGATCTTAGGCAGTAAATCTCTGTCTTTTTGGGTCTGTTCTGAGGTTCAGAAGTGATCTCAGAGAGTGTCTGATTTGATATAAGACATAAGACCAGACAAAGGGCCTTTAGGTGTGTAAATAATACATGAGTAAAAGGAAAACGATTGGCAGAGTTGCCATCCACTCATCAAAATGACTCCTGAAACACTCCCTCAGACTGTTTGTGTTCTGTACCTGTTAATGAGGTCTTCATTGTCATCACTCTCCATCTCATCCTCGATGGCTGCCTGGAGGTCGCCGATCCTTTTAAAAGCCAGCTTCAGATCAGCTTGCAGGCTCTGGTTTGCAGCCTCTAAGCTCTCAATGTCCATTTCCTTTAAAAGGGAAAGTCAGAAGTAAGTTTCTGCAGTAAATATTAATGATATGAAGACGTTTGAGAGCGGTGGGTGTATCTGCATGAATTGTGTAATCACTGATACGTTTCAGAAAACGGTCTCGTTAGTGGCTGCAAGACTTGTTACCAGTTCATGTTTCTTGCGGCTGGCCTCAGTTTCCTTTTTGGAAAGTTCGCCCATCTCCTCTTTGATGTCGCGAATCTGCCGCTGCAGACGTTTGTTCTGCTCCTTCTCCCTGATCTCGCTGCTGCTGCGTTGATCTCGCTCCTCCATCAGCTTCTCCACATTCTCCTTAAGACGAGCTACGAGGCTCTGCACACAAATAATTCTTGTTATTCCTTGTTAGGTCTTATTTGTTTTGAATGTCCAAATAAAATCACCCTCAAGGGGCAAGAAAAAGTTCAGATGAGAATTGGGCCTGGGTAGCGGATCAGACAGGCTATCGTTTTTTTTTTTGACACTAACTGTAACAGATTTGGCTTCTTTGATAATTTAAAATATGTCACTGAAAGTTCAGATGAGAATTGGGCCTGGGTAGCGGATCAGACAGGCTATCGTTTTTTTTTTGTTACCTTAAAATTAGGTAAATCTACCTATTGTCAATATTGTTAGATTGTCAATAAGTCAAATCAAAGGCTAAACTTATTTTAGATAATATATTTTAACAAACATTTTAAGCCAATTCTATCAAAGACGACTGGGATTTTCCACCAAACAACAGAGGTTAAAACAGCACGCTGCTCCTACCACCGTTCCACTGAGGAGAAATGAGTCTAGCATTCTCCTCCACCTTCTCTCTAGTTGAAACTAGAGCAATATAGCTGATACCATCAGTACATTCCCAGCCATAATGAAAACAATTTTCTGCTGCGGTTCAATGAGAAAAGATAAGAAGGAGAACGCTCAAACCATTCTGAAGATCAAGTTTACTTTTGATGACTTTATTTGTACCAATAATTCAACAAAATGAATGCAGAATCCTCTGCTAACCTACGAGTTTCACATGAGCGTCACCTGAAAAACAATGTGAGGCCAACTCAGTCTGTATGGTGCATAAAGTAGAGTCCGGCAGCATATTTTCTTACAGTGAGTTAACTCCTACATGGACCAGTGTGTCCACATTTTACACACGGAGTGGGTGTTGCAACTCTGCCTTCTCATATCTGTATTGATTTGAGCCCTGCTACCTCCAGCTTTGATGAGCTACAGTGCTCACGCTATCTGAAATATTCAAACACTGCAAATTTAATGCTGGTCAGAAGCCATGAAAAGCAAAACAAAAAGAAGAATGAGTCCAATGTGGGAGTATGTATTTATAACACAGGACTTTTTTTTTATCATTTCAAATTGTTATTTTGGAGAAAAAAAAGAAAACACTTGATATTATTATTATTTTTTTTATCTGAAGGACAAAGTGATTACTGGAGTGAACTTGCAAAATAGAGTACAAAATGGTTTCAGCAGTGAGTGAGAGCATTTTAATGTGTTCCCTCAAGTGTGCAAATGGTAACCTTTTGTGTTTATGTGTGCGTTGTGTTTTTGAAGGTAATTTGAAAATGACAGACTAATAAATGGAGCTGTCAAGTGAGCCTGAAACAAGCTGAGGTGAGCGGCACATCCTTGATAAGTTATAATGACCTTCTCTTTCTGTAGTCTCTCTCTCTCTCTCTCACTTCAGCAAAACAACCTTCCAGCACCAATCACCAAGTTGCCCAGGTGGAACAGCTGCCTCACACAGATGCAGACCACAACAAGCAGGACAGAAAACCCAACCACCTGTCTTCATATCTCACCTCAAGGCGTTTGACCTGGGTCTTCTCAAACTCCAGCTTGGTTTCCAGCTCACGGACCTTGGCTTCCTGCCGTCCAACCAGGGATTTCTCCACCATGGACTGCTCCTGAAACTCCAGCTGGCTTTGCAGGGCTTGCATCTAAGTCAACGACATGCAAACATTATGGATTTTCCTACAATCTCACATCCTTTAGGTCTTCAAAGTCGGTCATAAAAGGAGTGGGTTGACTGGTTTTAATTCGTTACTTATCTGTCGAGTCCTGACATTCAACACTTCTGTGATTCACCGAAATAAAGCACATGAAAAATTCTGGATTTCACAGACCGTGGTTTCAAAAATACCCAAATGTGGCAGAGACCAGGTGTGTGTTAAAGTAGGCTGTGTGAATCTGCATATTGTCAAAAGTCAACCATATATTTCCTTTATTTTCCCTCAGTTTTTTAGTTTGCTGTCTTGTAGTTTTAATCTGAAAAACATTTTCAATCGTGGATGTAATTAATCACGATTAATCAAGACAAAGCAACAATTCTAATTACGACAAAAGCAATATCAATGTTGTATTAACACAACAAAAAGTAGACAGGCTGCTTAATTATGGAAAGTAGACGGCACATCATTCTGCCTGTGTTCAAAATGTTTTAATTTTACAAATTAATTAACGCAAATAATTCATTTTGACAGCCCGATGTTTTATAAAAACCAGGACTGTGGTTTGCTGCTTACATAAGAAAATACTTTTTTTCAATTCTAAAAAAGTCCATTGAACACAATGGAGATGTGGCTTTATTTCCATAAAATACAGCATTTCTAATCTCTACTGCTGATAACCAATCCTAGTGTTAGTGGTAAATTAGTGTGATAAAAATGTGATCTTGCAGCTCTGGAAAAAAAAACCAGTAAGACTTTTCTGTTGTGGTAAAGCAGAAAAGCAGAATTGTCTTTTTTGTCTCAGGTCCTACGTGCCCTGAAAGAAAGGGCTCAGATGGTAATGTGAAGAGAGGTCATGCTGAGACAAAATGTCCCCCGGGTCCTCTTCCTTGACTTGCCAGGGTTTGATTTGTCAGGTACAGCTGTGTCTGACAGAGAAAAATACTCATTCAGCAACAGCCATTACAAGGATGACAGCACTAGCATGTTGTGCTTTATTGCTTGTCTGAGTTGGGAAACTAAGTTGGCCATATTTGTCACATATTGCAGGGCACCAGTCCTGCCTGAATGACACATCAATTACATCAAGGGTTGTATTTATTTTGCAAAGGCAAAGGAAACATCCAGGCGGTGCTGCACTCACATGTCTGTTTTGCAAATGAGGCTTTTTGGAGGACACAAAAATCTGAAGAAACTTTTCCAGTGTCATGGCGGAGGCAGTTTATGATCATCGTAACAAATGACAGCAATTACTAATCCAAGCATAAAAGGCAATAACTGATCTAATTATAGATAAATCTGCAAAAAAAATCCATCAAAATCCTATTCCCTGAGCATCATGGAGAAAAAAGGAGCAGATTCTATCTTTTTGTCAAAGAGGTGACGAGTGCAGATGAAAGAGGACGATGTTCATGAACATTCTAGAAGGATGAAAACATTTTCATAAATGCAAAGAGTGTGTTGTACGTCAATTTGTTAACGACATTCTTTGACGTGACATTAATCAGGATCACCGATGGAGGTGAATGTGAAGAGTCATTTTAGGTCATCATATTCAGACGGGTGGAGGTGGACCTGAGCATGAATTCATGATGTGTGGGTTCCAAAGTTTGAAACCCAACATTTTCTTCATCATCTTTTTACATGTAAACAACATCAACAAGGCAACAAGACAACAAGGCAACCAGGCAACCAGAAACACCCACCTTTTCCTGAATCTCCTGCTTCTCCTTGAGGGCGTCCTCCAGCTGGGTTTGAAGGTCACTGATCTGAGCCAGGTTCTGGGCCGACTGGAGACATTAAATGGACACATGGGAAAAATAAGCCAGGCAGCATTTCCATACTTAACATAGACAATTATCATGGGAAACGTATAGTATTAAATCATCATTATTATTAAATTATGCATGTGTAGAACATTCAGCCTAGAATATCATCTATCCAATATGAAACCACAGAGAAACAGTGACACATATTGACATCAGAAGAACATTTTCACTACAACGGAATCTGCGAGATCCATCCAGATCAAAGAACCATTTCTTTCCACAGTAGATCAGCTCTCTAGTCCAACCAGTCCCTGTGGGACTTTAGCAGTTTAAATTTAGAAAGAAAGGAGAACTCATTTCGAGTCAGTGAATCCAATAGATTCTCACATCAACCATCAGTAGTGGAGAATAAGCAATCTGACACTGCACACTTTCTTTTTTTTTTGCCACCTTCATAATAACGGGTGAGTCACCTAACAGCATTATTAGTGACTCGGTGGGCAGGTTCAAACCTATTCAAACCAAACCAGGATCCTGGATTTTCTACATTTTGATTTTAGACACGATATGATGAGCAGAGACCACACTGTGTACAGTAAATGTGAGAACCCGTGTCTCTGTGATGTGCACGTACTGAACCTAAACTTTATGTAAGGTTTAGTATAATACAACGCTGAACCTTTTGATTAAATGCTTCTTTAAAAAATAGGATTAAAGGTTAAACTAGTCGGTAAGCTTCACAGCTAACTGAAGGGCTTGGTTTTGGCAGTCGAGTCTGAACAGGTGACCACGGTGTTTCACCCACTCACGTCATCTCAGAACGATGCAACTTGTGCAGCATTCATTTTCACTACAGCATGACTGGTGACGTTAGTGTCATGGATTTGTTTGTCAGCAGGGTTACTGAAAAAGAGCCAAATCTGAAGGTAATGGAAAGATTTTCTCATTTATTCCGACGGCACACCTGGTCAAGCCTACAGTCGTTTACCTGCAGCAGGGGGAGCTGTACAAGGAGTATGAGTTTTGAGCTGTTTTGGTATTTTTTTGGTTTTTGTGAAAGACGTGCATTAGACATGAAAGAAATGACCCCTCCACCTCCATGCCTGTGAGTCTGAGCCTAAAGTGATATGATAATTATCTAATTAAGTTGACTTTTTAATTTTCAAAGTTGTTATTATTATTGCCTGTTCTCATATCAGGAATAGAGTCACACTTTCCACTGTATAAATACACAGTGTTACTTATAAAAGTGCTCCTACTGTTTCTTTTCTTTTCCTCCAAACTACTCAAGATTATTACATTTTTTTATATTTTATATTACAGATTGGAACGTTGGTTTATTACGAAGGGAAAAGCGGCCGATGGCAGCAGCTTTTTAGAAGAAAACAAATGTATATTAAAAATGAAAACAAAGACAGTGTAAAAAAAATGAACTGTTATGAAATATTATGCAAAAAACAAAACAAAAAACAGATGCAAATGGGTGTTTGATATCCAAAACACAAACGCGTGCAGAGAAAAATAATTTAATAGTGCCTATCTTGCCTGGATCAACCTGACAACCTTGGCGCCCAACTACAAATATCCTTCATCATGATTGCCTGTGATTCCAAAGCAGCAGCGTTTTTAAATACTGGTCTGCTGTTAATCTGCAGCTTTATTCATTATTTTATTCATTTGTTTCATTGAAACCTTTTCTTCATTGAAAGTCTTTCTTTTCTAAACCTTTTTCCGACACATACTCATTAAATCACACAAGAAATATAGTTTGATTTTTCTCCAGTTCATGTACAATAGCCATTGTCTTTATTTTGACAATTGTTATTTTATCTTCAAAAGGCTCTGTCTTTCCATTTTGCATTGTGCTCAATAATAAGAAATAAATTCAGCAAAAGGTCTACCTTTAATTAAGATTTTTTTTTTAAAAATACATTGTTAAAGCTGTCAGAGGAACCTGTCGGTGAAAATAATTAATGCAATGTAATTCCTTCATTTCCACTTTTAATTAAAAATAATCAATGAGGTATTCAATTAACAAATCCTCAAAAGGACAGAGAAGTACTAATGAGGGAACATTATCTCTCTGAGGTTTTAATTATTTCAGTTTCCCAATGTACATGAAGGAGATGTGGAGGAGAGAAACAGACCTGTGAAACGGCCGCCTTGTGTTTCTTCATCAGCTCATTCAGGTCCTCCTGATCCTCCTCCATCCTGGACTGCAGGTCATTCTTCTCCCTCTGGACGCGGCTCAGCTGCTCCTCCAACTGGGAATTAAAAAAAAAACAAAACAAAAAAAACAACAGAGAGAGGTGTCAACAGGAGCAACAACTGAGCTTCAAAATTTCTCACGTTTAATTAATTAAGCACTAAAAATGTAGCTTTTCAATTGGGAACAATTTCACAGTTTGGGAAAAACAAGTTTTTCTTTACTGCTAAGAGAAGCAAGAGCGATTATAATAATAAATAAGTACTATAATACACAAACACTTCATGTTCAGGAAGTGTTTTTTTTTGTAAAATTACTAAAATATAAGAAGAAGATGTATGTAATTTCTACATGAAAACAAAAGGGAAAGGAAATGACTGATTGTTAATTATAGGTAATTATGTTATAATTTTACTGGTCCGGCCCACTTGATATCTCGTTAGGTTGTATGCGGCCCGTGAACCAAAATGATTTTGACAGCCCTGATCTGGACACTCACAGAAGAACTCACCCAAACATTATAAATACTGATGGTCTACAACTGGGCAAAATAAAAAATAAAACGTATTAAAATCACAGAGGACAACACTATAAGGACTGCAGTCTGCATGGTCAAGCATGAAATGTGCCAGGACATGTGCAGTGACCATAAACCGCCCGTTGTTAGGAGTCAGGCCTGTAACCAGTCGGCAACAGTCAGTTTTTCTGAACACAAACAAAATTATTAATCAAAGCCAACCAGATGAGAGCAGAGCGCCTCATCATAAACTGCACGTATCTAATTAGGAAACACTTAATGAGCTGCAGGTGACTTACAGTCCTGTCATTCCCAATCCAGAATTCAGAGCTGATATAGTGCACGTCTGCTCACTAATCAACAGCACATAAACATTATTAATGTGCTGTATATATCACTTTAAATCGGAGGCAGCCATAATTGCCCTGAGGGTGGGATAATAAAGGGGCACTTCAATTTGGGTGAAGCCAGAAGACACAATGTCATAAAACATTCCAGTCCTTAAATATTTATTCTGTCTGATGCCTGACATGGAAACTAAATCAGAGCAATTTGAAATGATGGAAGCTTCGCAACAAGTTTTGATCTAGTTCCACATGAATGTTTTCCAAAACTAAAAGAACTTTCAGAGTTCTTCTGGGTTCAGTATTCAGAGGAGCCCAGTGAGCAAGCTGTGCCCTTGTGCAAGAGAACATCACAAGGAAGTCTTAAATCTTTGGAGAAACAGCTTTTAATCCAGTTTATATTGCATTATAAATAGTCGGTCCAACACTGCTAATGCCACAGAGAGGTGTAATCATCTAATCGACACTACAAATGGAACAAAAAATGTTCTGCTACAAAAAACATTAGGATAAAAAGGGAGTTGTTTTTATATATTTACTCACTTCCATGAGCATTTGTTGAGACAGGCTAATGATAACTGTAGTACCTATAAATATCCAGTTTCCAATGTGTGACCAATTCATTTTCACGTCTCACTTTCCCTTTTAAATCCCCCTCTTAGCTTCAATGGGTGCTGATAAAAGCTGCGAGATCTACATAGTGAGGAAAAATATGTTGATGGATGCTTGTGAAAAAAACAAAAGGTCCGGTTGGCAGCATCAAACTGTCATTTAGCACGTTTAACAATAGGCTGTCAGCACAATCTCAACCCAATTATGTGGGTTGGCTCTCTTTTTCCCTCTCTGACTGCTGGGGCTCTGTGCAAAAACTGAAGCTTTCAAAACCATGTGAGACAATTTTCTGAAAACACTGCCATTACGCCAAGAGAGTGGTGGAAGAATGGTGGACAATCTGAATTTACATGATGTTATCTTGGGTTGCACGGCCTATAATTTAGCCAAACCAAAAGAAAGAAAAACAGCCTCGCTATTCCAGTCGTCTGCTCACCCAGCCGACTGGATTTTATTTTTTGCTGAGGTCATTCTGAAGGACATCACTTCAAAACAAACAGAATTCTTTATCTCCCTCATATTCCCTTTTTTTACAGACCTAAGCAATAGAGAAAACATTAACACAGGAATCGTGAGTGACTGAGCAGGAAAACACATCCACATGGCAGTTGTTTTGGGCTTTAATAAGTTTACTTCACCACAGTGGACTTTGTGTCCAATATTTCTTCACCGTTTTTCTTTGTTTTCTCACATACATATACAAATATATATATATACATATATATGTATATATGTCATATAAATATATATGATTGAACGAGCAGAGGAGAGAACAGAGATTGAGGGTGAAAGAGTGACAGAAAACATGTGTGTGTGTGTGTGTGTGTGTGTGCAGTCTTGTGCATGTCAACACACAGAACCCGACTGCCATGGGAACAGAGCTATAAATGAAAAAAAAACATTCAAAGCTAAACAACCAGAAAACCATGTATGTCTCTAAACAGGAGAGAAAAAGAGAACAAAATGTAAATGGAATAAAATGTACACTTTTCAGAAAAATAACAGAATAACACCTACCCTGCACTCAACACTCTCTCGTCGAGTGACATGCAGTGGGAGGAAAAGGATGAGATGTGAGGGAACAGATGTGTCCTATAACCCCTTATCTGTGGCTAAAGGCAACACTGTGACAAAGCTACTGCCATCCTCCTACCACCACAGATGGCACAGCCTCATAAAAAGCCTGCAAAGCCAAACCTATGTGAACACCCTCGATGATCATTTCCAAATGCGGTGAGAGCCTCAGCTTCTCCCTCCCATTTAAAGATGACATGCAGTAAACTTGGCCATAAAGTAGATCTAAATTGCCACCTGTGGTAGCATTAAGATGGAATATGAAATGCGGCTTTGGCAAAGGGAAAGGGTCAAGGTCTCGTGATGCTGTACTGACCGCCTGCTTTGTTTTGGAGATGTCCTCCATCTGAACGTGAAGGTCTTCGATCTCCACCTCCATGGACTTGCGGGATTTAACAGCGGCCGCACACGTGAACTCTGATTCTTCCAGCTGCACACGACATAGAAACATTTGTTGTTGTTGTTTCAAGGTTAATAAATTGCATTAATTTAATCTTAAGATTTAATTAAGTTAGCATAACCTTATCAGTTAGCAGTGTTACACTGAACAAGGAGAGATATTTAGGTGCTGAGCTGGAATTAAATGCATATTTTTCCTTATCATGATTAAGAGCAGTGGTTGACAAAATGGGGGGCGTAAAAGTCAGTGAGGCAGGGTACAGCAAAACAAATACATTTCAGTTATACTTTTTTTTTTCATGCTACAGTAGGAAAAATGTACTTATATTATGGTCTTTGTTAATTGAGAAGGGAAGTTTTGCAGGAATTAAAGTCCTTTCAGTGAAGTTTAGTAGAGTTTTAAAACAGACTCTTCAAACATGTTGATGTTGGGGGAACGAACCGAATCTCAGAGGAACGGTTCACAAGTTGTCGCTGTCAATGTCGTACCTGATTCTTGAGCTGAGCAATCTCCCTCTTGCTGGGAGCATTGTTCTTTATATGGTCCAACATTATCTGGGCATCAGCCAGCAGAGCCTTGGTTCTTTTCAGGTCCTTCCTCAAACGCTTCTCAGTTTCTACGTCCCCGCTTCTCACCTGAAAAAGAAGCACAACTCGTGTTTTTCTTCTTTTCTTGACATTTAATCAGTTGCTCAATACTTTGACGGGGACTTCTGTGACTAAGTGCAGTAAGCACTTTTTTTTTACAGAATATGAATGGGAAGTAAAATGAAAACACCACAATAGGATGATTAAAGTGTCTCAAAAGAGAAGAGAAAAACTAACAAAAAAGACACCTGTCTTTGTTATTTCCTTGTACAAGATACTGTTCTGGTTCAGACGATTCTATTCTGATACAAAGCGTCCAGTGAACGGTGTTATTACCTGATCCTGTGCTGACAGAAGCTTCGACTCCAGCTCTCTCTTCTCTTTCAGCACTTTTTGCTTCTCAGTGTATTCTTCTTCAAGCTGGACTTCCATTTGCTTAAGCTGCAACAATATACAAGCAAAATAAACAGGAAGTGGGAGAATTGATTATATTATAAATTATATACAAGTCCAAAAAGGACTAAAGCTATGTCCAGTTAATTGGTTGCAAGTCAATTCTGATTATTTTTACTTTTCTTGAACCTTTTAGTTTAAGTTATTTGCCAGTTTTTTTCTAATAATAAAACATTTTTAAAAAGTTCTTCAAGTGTCTAATTCTCACACACCTTGAAGGACAAAGCTAAGCAAAAATATTTTGGTCCTGAACTAACACAACTATCGTCTTCACATCAGACTCCTGTAGGAATGTAAATGTAACATTACCTTCTTGCTGCAGGACTGTCTGATCTCCTCCACCTCATCATCTTTGCTTTCAATGTCCTTTGAATGAGTCTGACGGAGTCGCTCCATCTCCATCTCCAGGCGCAGCTTGGCCTGCAGGAAGAAAATTGACAGTGTGTCGATAAGGCCAATATTTGCCATTGAAATAAACTTAACGTGTAGTAAGAGTCTGCTCTTTAAAGAAAGTTAGTGGAGAAATGTGTGTGCAACAGTGTGTGCAAGAGGTTTTGAATTCGTTCAGTAATTACAATGCTCTTTAAAGAAAGTTGGTGGAGAAATATGTGTGCAACTGAGGTTTTGAATGTTCTCAGCTGTCTGAGCTCACATTTTTATTAGTCTAAAAATAGTGTAGTGTTAAAAATTTAAAAAAAATTTGTTCAGTAATTACAAAACCCAAACTCACGCCTTGGTGAGACCAGAGAGTGTTTGAATATGACAACAAACTAGTTATCAACTGCGTATTTTATATTACTTGTTGAACTCAAAGGGTTTATTGCTATTATCACATCAACAAACAGTGAAACACTCTGTGCCACTGAACCCTGGTACATCCTGTGGAAGGCGTCTGAAACCTGACACCAGCACAGAGCCTGACAATGAGGACATTTGAGGCCAGTGAGGTCCAGTTGAAACACAGCGACTTGTCAACAAATCATAATCTCACAGAACAAGTCTGTCTCATGGGGGAAATATCAGTTCTGTGAACCTGTGAAACATCACAGTCACAGTCCCGTCTTACATGACTACAAATGACATGACTGGCTAAGGTGAGAACAAACCCAAAGTGCAGTGCATGTGTGGGCTGAATCCAAATGATGAGCTCAACCTCAAAGTGACCCCATTCAACCTCTTACATTCCTTTACGTATTCTGGAAAATGTAGCCTACATTGACCTTTAACAGCAGAAATAATGTACTTGTCATTTTAATAATTAAATAATTATATATTTTTTGTCACTTTTACATGCGGTTTAAGTGACTACAAGTCTGGTCAAAGTCTGGTGAGGTGAAACTGAGGTCGCTTAAAAATATTTTTATTTAAGAACACTTATGAAAGTAATCTAGGTTTAAGTGCTGGTCACACTGTCGTAAAAAATATATAGGTCACATTTGTGCAAAATAAATGGGATATGGGCCACTTTGCCTGTGGTGAAAATACATGTTTTTCAATCTGCACATACAGTAATATTGGTTTCTTTATCACAAAATATGAACTGTTTACTGTCCTGGTTTCATCATTTTGTCACAACTGTGGGAACAGTTTAGAAAAAAAAAAAACAAACAAAAAAAAAAACACCATCTACATATACAGTGATCAGTTTTCAACTTCACTCCCTTTTCAGCTCCTCTGTGTTCAGTGCTTTGTGTGTACCTGTTCTAACATCTGGATGGTTCCAGCCTGCTCATCCAGCTCCTCCTCCTGGTCCTTCACCTTGGCCTCCATGTCACGAAGCTGCTTCTTCACCTGCACGATGAATAAATATTAACAATAAACCAGTGAAAAAAAACTGTACAAGAGAAAATCTGACTACAGAGTTAACAGGATCCAAGGACAAAGAAGACCTTGGCCAGCGACGCCTCATCTTTGGATTCCTGGGAGTTGAGATCCTGCAGCTCGGCCTCCAGTTGGTCCAGCTTCAGGTTTAATGCACAAACTTCCAAGTCCTTATCCTACAGGACACGTGGGCACAGGAGAGAAGAGAATCTGAAGTGTAATCAGCGGAGGCTGAGCAAATATTAGTTCAGCTCAACAGGTAGCTACTGATGCACAAACAGGCTAATTGCCACACTTTCATTACATCAAACTCCTGCTGTGAAGACTGGTAAAGTACAAACCTGCTCCTGCACAGATCCCCTTATTATAAACCTAGTCGACTTCCACATGTTTTCACATAGAATTACAGAGTGATGCATAACATGAAGGTGTTAAGAGCCTCAACATTATGTCATGACTCTAACAAATCTGATCTCAAACGGTAAGGATGACAACAAATATAAGAAGTTGATCAGGATAGAAATTAGCCCGAATGTTGACATAATATACAATGAGGTATTTCACATATACAGTACACAGCAAGTTTTTACCTAAACAAAATAAAAAAAGAACCCAACGAACGGACGAGAAGTACAAATAGGAGTAAATAACAAATATGAAATACTGTGATACAGTGTTCTAAAATTAGATGTTTTTTTTTGGAATTGCAACTTTATTTTCGAATAAATGTAATTGTGCTTCATTGTCATAAAGCATTATAAGCTCTTATATGTGTTTGATCTTGATCTTGAACTCTAAATGGTTTTATAACTGTTGTCAAAGCATTTCTTTTTAAGAAAATGTTCAAACTCTGAGACTAAATAAAAGACTGAGATCAGTTTGAATATTGCAGAACCTGTCATGAATGTTTTTTTGGGAGGGTGGGGTGGGGTACTAAAGCTGTGAAAGGTTCTTAAAAAAGTTTGCACCATCACATTAAAGTGTGTTGTCACCAACACAAACCTCCAGTTGCTGTCGGAGGCTGAAGGCCTCTCCTGTCAGCATGTCTTTCTCCCGGGCCAGTTTCTCCCTCAGGCTCTTCTCCCGCTGCACCTCATCTTGGGCAGCACTTAGTTCACTGTCAAACCTTAACACAAGGACACACACACACACCAGCACCACTGGTCAAACCCTCTGCTGATTACAGCTATTTAATCACCAACACAGCAGATACTGCTGCTCTGAAGAATGTGATTTGAAAAGGAAAATATGTGAATAATAAAGTCGGATTGTTGGGTGTGGGTGTGTGCACTGACTTCCTCTGCTTCTTCTCCAGGTCATGGTTGCGACTCTGTTGACTTTCCATGTGAAGTTTGGTGTCCTGTAGTTCTGACGTGAGTCGCTGTGTTTTCTTTTTCAGCTGCTGGATGTTCCGTTGGGACTCTTCGTTGTCTGCCTGCAGGTCTGTGATCTGGAACATCATTGCAAGAGTTGGTGAGTAGAATTTCATTGAAATCCATACTTAAATAAGCTGCACTATATAAATTACTAACAGAACAAAAGAGATGAAGTTTAATTAAATACTTTTTAAATAGCAACAATGACAGAACAACTGCTCTGTTACACAGTAATAAAGCTTAAATTTGGATTTTACAAACCGTGAGTTTTGAAAAGTGAGATTTTTTTTTAGCATATATACAACCATTCATTTTTATAGCAATCAGTTGTGTACAACGAACATACATATATATCCACATATAAATACATATATACATATACAGTATACCCACATACATATATACACATATACACCCATATGCATATACATATGTATATATATATATATATTTTAATGTTCTGAGAGATTTATTGTGCCAGACTGTGTGTAATCATCCGGGTGTACTGTGTGTGCAGCGTGCGTCCACTGACCCTCCTATCAAGCTGCCTCTTGTTCTGCTGCTCCACCTCCAGCTTGTCATCAAACTCCTGCTGTAGCCTCTTCTTGGTGAACTCTATCTCCCTGATGGCTCGTTCGTACTTCAGCCTCCACTCTCCTCCTGTCAGACCGACATGTTCACAGTCTCTCACTCTTTCATATTTAACCAGCTCTATGACAGTCGAATGCATTTTTTAACAGCGATAAAAATAGCTCAGGGATTTTAATAAATAAAACATCAGACAACTTGTGTGTCATGATAAAATGTCTGCGACTGACGACTTTGTGCTATTAAAGATTATGCCAGAATGATAAAATGGTAAATATGAGGATATTGAATGCAAAAAAAAGAGAGAGAATGTTAAAAGTTTAGAACTACGGCTCACAACATCCTGAATATTTAGTCAAAGGAGGTTTAGTGTAAAAAATGAAAGTTTGGGGCCATTTTGTACAGAGGAAAACCGATGTCTGTTATTTTTTGCTCTTCTTTAAAGTGTCTTCTTGACAGACAAGTCTTTTTTAAAAATAAACAGACCTTTTCATAAATTCTCCTTTGGTGCTTAATATAGACTTTGTTTTTTTCTCTGCTAAGATTTTCTTTTTCCCTTCTGATGCCATCTTAGTCTGTCTTTAAGCAGAAATATAAAAAGAAACTTAAAGCCAGTTTGTGCAAAACATACAGGTAATTAACCTCAATCGGCTATTGATTAATCGTGCTAATAATATATGATTTATTTAGAGTATTGTTTGTTGTTTATTTAGACAAATATAACCATATTAAAATGAGGAAATCTTTAGATATATTTCTATGGTGAGAAACTTTTTTTTGTTTAAAATTGTAAAAATATTGAGTGAGTCATATTAAGCTGCTGTCCTTTTAAAGTATTTGTTAGGTCTTCTTGTTGCATGTACTGCAGTATAAATCATTTAGTAGTAGCAAGAGTGTGTAGAGCACAGGAGAGGTTTGCAACATGTGTATGACCTGTGTCATCATCCTCCATCTCTCCGTTGAGTTCAGACGCCCGGATGAGCCGAGCCTCCATCACCTCCATCTCCATGGACTCCATCTGTTTCTTCATTGTGTCAAACTTGGCCTGGTGGGTAAGAAAGATGACACATTTTCCAGGACAATGTGAACACATTCTCCAGTCTCCACAGTCTCAACCAAAAAAAAGAGCCTTATAAAAAAAACTCTAGTAGATGAGTTTATAACAGAAGATAAATTTGAGGTAGAACTGAAAAAAAAACCATGAACTTTCAGCAAATGGCTGAGTCATTTATTTTGCTAATACAATGGTGTGTCTCCTCAAAAAGTCAACACTATAAATAACAGAGCTGTCAAGTGCAATTCAACTTGCGCACCGTACCTGACTCGACTGCCGATGAAGTTTTGGGAAGCAAAACTGTGCTGATTCAGGTCAAAGCTCGTTTTTGTGGAGATAAGAAGTTGAATAATTTGTTTTGGTGCCCCCTAATAGGCCCTCTGTACTGGTCAATACTACTTATCCAGTGAGTCTGATAGGGAGAAAACCCAAAACAGCTTTAGATGGATTCATGGTTTTCTTCAGATAATGACATCAAAAGGCAGATCAGCTTAGTGGAATGAGAAACGCAGAAGTCTGGGCTTGGGCTTTTGCAGCACTCCAAGTCTTTCTTTTGATTAGATCAGACAACTGAATTTCAAGAAGAAAAGAATCCATGCTTACTAATCAGAACAGAGTACACTTAAAAAGATACATTAGATATAGTGGGAGACGCGCTGACATCATTTGTCATTTTAGGTTTTATAGTATTTTATTTGTCCGTCCGTTAGATCTGCACCTTTACACTGTAGCGTCTGCTGATGAGGCTGTGACTCTGTTTCGTTCCTTAGTGATTCAGTCAATGTTTGCACCAAATGAGCAGGGCCCAGACTCCATCACCCGATGCCGTCTGTCCGCAGTGGTACTCAGTATATCACATTAGTGTGCTCTGCCTTGTACTGCTTGCAGATTTTGCCTAATATTCAGTAGTATTACCACATAACCACAAGGCCAAGCAATGTTTACGCATAAATCTGTAAATATGTCTGTGTAGTAATTTAAATAATTCTGTATGTTCTAACCCAAACTCTTACTCTACTCATATTCAAGCCTGTTCTTCTCTGTCCGTCTGATGAAGTCTCAGAGATTCATTTTAACATTTTAACAAGCTAACATCTCTGATTTTCTGCTGCTGGACTTCACTCTCTCAATTCCAGCAGAAGGAACAAGCTCCGGGTTGTGCTCATTAGCACTTTCAAGCGCTACCTTCAGGCGACCCTACAGGTCTGTATTTAAAGTAGAAACATGTACAGTAGAGTAAACGCCTGTGCGTCAGTAGGGACTGTAAACTGCTGCTCAAGACGTCTGGTCATGTCTATACACCGTAACTATACCATAGAGTACTTCTTAATCTGTAGTTTAGAACAGGGACCCCCAACCCCCGGTCCGGGGACCAGTGCCGGTCCATATTTCATTTGGTACCGGGTTGCACTGGGACAAAAGTAAAAAAAAAAAAAAAAAAAAAAAAAGTACTTCAGTTTTCCTAATTAACTTCATTAAAAAAGAATCCAGTTTTTCTTTAAAAGATATTCTGGCAATGTTTCAAGACTAAAGTAATTCAGACTCTGATACTGACAGAATAAGAAGATGTTTTATTTCAAAAATCTAATGATGGTGCAGTATTACCGGTCCACAGCAACACACCTGCAAACCTGCCCTGAGAGAAACTGAATTTGCCCTTGTTCACCTGAACATCCCCCTTTTCTTTCTAAGAGCTGAGCCATTTGCACGCAGCATGATTCCCATCTATCTGTGCATTCACTGGAAGAATTTCTGGATAAATCATCAGTCAAAAATGTCAAACAGTGAACAAAGTGAAAGGAGAGAGCAGGGGGGGAGGACAAGGGTAAAGAATTGACCTGACAATATGACTTCACATTTTCAGCCATCACTGTGTGAGAGTGTGTGTGTGTCTACCTGTAAGTCCTTCATGTCCCTCTCCAGTCGCAGTCTCTCAGAGGTTTCTGTCTCCAGCAGCTGAGAGGCCGACTCCCCTGTGTTCCTCTCATCAGCCAGCTCTGATGACAGCTCAGTGATCTGATTTGCACACATAACACACACAATATATATCAACATTAATATTCTATTGTCTCACAGTATAGTGCTGTGTGTGGAGGGGCTGCAGGGGGTTGAGGGGTCAGACAACATGATTCTGCATTTAATATTTTATCTGGCGTCACAAATCCAATGAATTCATCATCTGTATTTTGAAGGAAAAAGATTCAGAAATACGTGTTTGTATTTCTTCGTTCTGGTGCTGAATTTACTCCTGAGTGCAACTTTATTAAACATGAGATAACTCCTCTACTGTTCAAATGTCTCTGTGTATTTACCCGGCTCTCCAGGCGATCACTGTTGAGCCGCAGCTCGTTTCTCTCCTTCTCCACCTTCTCCAGCTTCTGCTTCAGCTGCTGGATTTCTTCCTGAAGAAGAAGAAGAAGAAGAAGAGGGACAACATTAACGTCACATTTTCTAATTTGTTTTACTTACTGTTGCAATAAAGGTACGGTATGACTTGCCTTTTTTTATTAAATTAATATATATCGGCTTTGTTCATTTTCTATATATTGAACACATTTGATTTTGTTTCCACATCAGATCCTAAATCCTATATTAAGCACCGTCAGAGCTCTGGCTAATTGTTGTTTAATTGTGTTATAATTACATCATGTGGAGCTGAGTGGAACCAAAGTCCCAAACATCATTAGCTGTTTTGTTGCAATTTTCAGGTTTACACAATAATTTGTTGATGCCTTCAAAGTGTGAGTGTGTGTGTGTTTGTGTCTTCATATACGCACATCCTTTCCACGGATCTGCTCCTCAGTGAGCTGCACTTCTATCAGGGGTCTGACCGTGGTGAAGAGCTTCCACCATGGCCAACCTTTGACACCTCGATTTTTCTTAATGTTCTTCTGAATGCAGCGGATGGCCAGATCCTGAATCTGTCACAGAAACACACGAGTGGCCACAGCATGAGTCAGTGGAAGAAGACAAGATGGATGAGGACGTGGTCTTTGTGCTTTACAGTAGACCATCAATCACAGACACTGGGAATTCAAAATCTCATAAGAAGAATATATAGTGGTTGTCAGTGAGGATGAGATTTAGAAAAAAAAAAGAAAAATCTGGTTATTATTCGTTACATAACCTTGAGAACAAAACTTATTTGTCATGTTTATCTTTTCAAGATTGAAACAAAGCAAAGGGGAATTGTTGTTGGTTTTCTTTTATAACGCAAAAAGGAAAAAGCTGAGCCTTGAAAATAAAAGTATGACTCTTTATTTACTGGCACTCCTTTGACACCAGGTTGTTATTAATATTGCACTGTGTTAGCATAATGGTATTCTTAATCACGAGATACATTAGTAGGTATTAAAGTAGCCTCTAGGACCAAAGTGTCTTGGCTGACTTTGTGTATGACAAAATACTTTGTACTCAAGAGTCATATTTTATGCCGAACCACTTTTCTCACAGATTAAATGGATTTACCGTTGAACCCATCTCTACATTTGGAATTCCGACTAGTTTTCTGGATTACCTCAGCAGATCCAGTTGACTTGTTTTTAAACTGTTGTAACACTACAACAACCTGAAGTAATGTTTGTGGGTTGCTTCAGCTTGAAGTTCCATTGCCTGAATAAACATTACCATATTGTTACACAGCAGGTGCACCAGAGGAATCTTCCTTCAATTTAAAATATTCCTCCACCTGTCTGTTAGAAGTAGTAACAACACAAATCTCAGTGGTACCTGTAAATTTAGAAAACATCATACTGTACTCCTATTTGTTCAACTGTAGTGGTGCAGTGGTGTTATTTGATTTCTATGACAAAAAAAAATATGTAGGACAAATATGATGGACATAGTCAGAATGTTTGATACAGGGATATTTATCCAAGCTGTGTACTCAGTACCTGGTATCCAGAGAGGCACAGTGAAAGGGGACAGAAACACTGGCACTTAGTTTATTTACATGCACAAACAGTATGAAGATAGGCTGAGTGTTTATGCAATGTGGTAACCAGGTTACTGGTTTCTGCCTTAAGGAAACTATTTAATTAGATTCATTGTTGACTGGCTGGCAGCTGAATCCCCCATGCTTTTCCACTCTCAACTGTTCCCCATGACAACAAAGAGAAAGAGGCAGAGCAGCGACAGACTGCAGGGCCTCAAAGCAGCCAGAGGAGCTTTCTCTATTTGTCTATTCCCGCGTGGAGAGGCACAGTCTCTCTTTCTCCAAGCCTTACTTCCTTTTCTTTCTTAAAAAAAACTCTTTCTCATTTATTTTCTGGAGTGCTTTGAAAGCTGCTCCCCTGGCAGGGGGGAAGACTTTGAAGGGGGTGAGGTGAATCTCCGGGGCAGACAAGCAGATGAGATGAAGGACCGGATTAATTGAACTTAGGCTGTGATGTAAAGACAGCCTAGGAATATTTAAACGAACATTTCTGTATGGATGTTTATCACCAAAGGAGCTACACACCTGCAGGACGTAATACAATTTACATTTTTAAATACTACAGACTCAAATTCATTTTGAAAAACCTTGACAAAATAACAATAAATGACTGAGTAAAAACTTGGATAAACCTGAAAAACATGCAACCAATGCATTGACAAAAGTCATAACAAACTGTGGAGGCATTGACGAGGTAGTCAATCAACCTGATTATGAACAAAATATTAAAGCAGCAGTCTACAACAATTATCATTTTAGAAAAAATATCTTTACAATAGTTAAGACTACATGGGTGTAGTCTGGGTGTGATATCACCTGTGTACCACTGCTGAAACCACCACTACCACTAGTTTCAACTACATGCACGTGTTCATATCTATTAATTCAACCATATACTTAGAGTTAATTTAAACGCTTTAAAAACTGTGGATTTTTTAATGTACACAAAATCACATTTCAAGAAAACATACTCCATCCCAGTGGTTTCCCCCCAGGAGGCACAAGATCATTTGCTCAATGAGATTAGCAGTTTGTTGGAATGACAGAGTTTATAACGAAATTCAGTTGAGTTTTTGAAGCACTAGCTGTAGATGTGTCCACATGGGGAGGCTCGACAACAGACCTATATAACATATAAAATGACTCGTAACAGTATGTATAATTTTAGATATATCTGCCAACCCTGGAAGGAACTAAAAGAAATAGAGAACCTATCATTGGGACCCATGTGTTTGAGAATGACTTTACTCCATCTGTTACGTGGAAAAAGGCAAAGTTTATAATCTATACTGCCACCTACCACCGTCCAGATGCTCGCTTTCTCTCCTGAGAGCTGTCACACTGGCCATGTTAATGCAGCGCCCCCACACTAAACCTAATTGTGCAAAGACAGAAGGGCTGATTCCTAACCAGATAAAAAATGCCTGATTAAAAAATAAAAAATAAAAATTTTGAATTGGCTCCGAGTCAAGAAAATAGGCTAGTGCTACTTTCAACAGACATATGTCTGGCATACAAAGACCCATCAAAAAAGGAAGAGCCTATATTTAGCTGGCAGGCTTTGACTACGCAGCATTACAGCATCAGCTAAAAAAGATAATGTCAAACACTGGGATATTTATTGAAAGCAGATGCTCAAAATGCAGCACTTTTATTCTCTTGGGCTTTTGATATGAGCCTGAAGATTATCATATGTATTTTTTTTCTCCAAGGTGAGATAAGGCAAATGCACACTGAAATCTATGACGTTATAGGCTTGATGAAAAGAAAAAAAATACTTATAGTTATAATCTTATTCTATTTAATTTTGTCCATGCTCATAGGAGAGTGTGATTGCGAGAGATCCTAACAATAGAAAGCTGTTATCATGTCTATCCAGGTTGAAAGAATGTAATGCAAGTATCCTAATCCGATCATGTGTTTCTGAATTACAGAAACCAGACAGCAAGATTGATAGTATCTTGGGATTAACCCTATGTGAGTGAATCTAACCAGCAGGTGTGGTGTACAAGGGCAGGGCGAGATAAGACGGCCCGAAAGACGTCCAGATGTGTGTCACGAATCAGGTGAAGACACCATGTAATTGAACATCAGCATGAGATAATGAAGAATGAGGAGCACACGCTGACGTTTCCTTTTTCTTTCTTCCCTTCTCTTGTGTCTTCTCTAACAACACTTTTAACTTTCGGACAGACCAGTACTGACTAAACTCTACCACAGCTGCTAGTTAACGTCAGGAGAGACAATGACATTGATTGATGAGAGTGAATGACTGAAGTTGGTGGTTATGTGACACCTGTCGTACAAAGTCACTAGAAAACTATAAGGATTTTTTTTTCTTTTCAAACAATAGCAATTAGCTGCTTTTAATTGTCACAGGAAGTTAACAGAATTGCAAATGAATGCCATGAATTACCAGCTTTTTTCTTTTCAAACAATTAGCTGCTTTTAATTGTCACAGGATTTTTTTCTTTTCAAACAATAGCAATTAGCTGCTTTTAATTGTCACAGGAAGTTAACAGAATTGCAAATGAATGCCATGAATTACCAGGGATTACTATTTACCTTTAGGAAGGAAGGCTGATACTGAGACCTTCAGGGGAGATTGAGTAGTGAAATGAAACCCAAATGCCCTTGAAAAGCAATTTCAGCTGGCAGGGCCCCACGTGAAACACACACTTACACAAACAACCACACAGCTGACGTGCAGCACACACTTACGTTCATACGTATATAAGAAGCAGGCACCAAATGAACTGTGCTCACAACAAATAATTCACACAAGTGACGTCCAAAGTTTTCTAAAGTGACAGATAGTGGGAGGAAGGGAGGAGAGAGAGAGAGAGAGTGAGAGAAAGAGAGAGAGAGTCCTGCTGACATTTTAACAGGCAGTCAGTGCACGGCAGCTGTGTTTTCCACTTGTCAGGTTCAGAACACACACACACACACGCACGCATGCACGCACGAACCTGCGCACACATGCATACACATGAAAATTGCAAAGTCCTTTACAAGGGCAACTTGTAAAGCATCCAAAAAGCTCATTTGGCTTCAATAAAAATGGCTCTCCTTGGGTTTGAACTTCATTTTAGTTGACTGTGAAGCATCCAATAAAGCTAAAATGCCAGCGTGGTCTTCACCGAGCATATTAATGATATAATGCACTTGCACAGCAACATGATTGACCAGGGATTTAAGCCAGTGAGATATTATGTCCCCGTTATTGCACAACTCCTGTGGTGCCAAAAAACAAAGGCAAAATACAAAGAAGACTATGTGTGTGTCTGGTCTCACTGCAGTTTGTTATATTACATCATATCAATCAATTCACACCAGGATGGACAGTCATTTAGTCATGAGTTTGGGCGTTTACTGGAAGCCTTCAATTTTACTTCTCATTTCAATAGGTTTATTCCTACAAAACGTTTAATATTGTTTTATTGCAGGCTTTTTTTTTCAATCACCTGCATTCATTCAAATCAAATTTTCTTTGCTATTTGTTCAGTTAAAAAGACTAACTTTCTTTGAGATGTTCCTTAAAGTTTTTTTTAGGTTATTGAATCCTGTGGTCCTCTCCACAGTTCTCCTCAACACTTCACAAAGCAGTAGAATCAAAGCGTGAGAGCTCTGACATCTTTTTACAGTTCAAACCCTCTTGCTCTGAAGGACATCAACCACATTCTCCTTCAGATGTTCAGGCAGTGGCACTGAACTGTCATTCTGAGAGTCAGGAGCTGTGGCTGGGTCGTCAGACTTTTGTGACTTTGTTGGCTTACGTTTAAAACTTTAAGAGTGCATTGGATGTAGTTGTTTGTGACAACTTTTTTTTTTTTTACATAGAAGTGACAGGCCCTTTCCAGGACATTGTCAGTTGCTACTGCATAACAGACCCTTTTTTTTCTGACACTACAATCTATGACGCACAAAACTGCACAGGTATGTAAAGACTGTTCTGTGAATTTCCTGCTTCGACCTTTTGTGTTAAATTGCCTTTAATAAGTCAATAATCATATATGATTTGCAGTCATAAAAGTTGGCCAAAAGGAACTCCCATATATATATTTTTTTCAAAACCCATTGTAACATTAGAGCTGTCAAACTTGGTGGTTTTCTGTGCTGAGGCAAGTTAGTTTAGTCGGCAGCACAGTCTGCAGCCTTGTTTTCCCCTCCAGTTACACCTGCGAGCACATGATTAACCCTGGAACAGATCAGAGAAATTAATTACTCCGATTAAACATGAGTGGGTTGCGGGTGTGTGAGATAATGAATAATTGATGAGGAAAAATATTATTCAGTGTTTACATAATACACCATCATTGTCAATCTAGGCAGGTGCAGGTTCCAAAACAAGCTAAGCTACCTTTTCACAGTCTGGTCTGTCACTCAAGCTCTGCAGATGATGTAGCGCAATCCTGTCAAGCACAGTTGTTCTTGCTGAAAAGCAAAGATTGTGTCCAGCTGCTGTTCACCAGCGTGACAGCGCAGGGAAAATAATTAAAATGGAAAGCATTTCAAAGTTTATCCAAAAGACCAGAGTCGTGGAAAAGAGTAATATGTGACCAATAATAAGGCTGTGTTTCTTGCCAATAAATGATGAAATGGCCTATAGAAGAACATTTATGGAAAAGCTTTCTCAAGAAAAGTTCAAGAAAAAAAAGTTCTGTCATGTCGGGTCTGCTTGCTTGTTCAACATTCTGCATTTGTGTTAGATTTAGAGTTGGACCAGGAAAGGTTGAACAGAAAGTAAAAGATGTCAGGATGTCAGAAGCAGGAAGGTCTGCTTTGGCAGTTTCCATTATGAAAAACACTCTGGTGCCACTATTCAGGCCGGTTTTATCCAGTGTGTCGAGTTTTGCAAAGAAAAATAAAAAATCTCGATCCTCGCGACTTTAAGTGTGACTCTGACTCGGATGGCTAAAAACTGACAGAAGTTTTTATTCATGTGAGAGTGGGGGAAAAAAAGAAAATCAATTTTTTAAATGCAATTGCAAGTAACCGTTGGATCAAAAACTGCTACTGAAAACTTTCGGACTTCATTTCTGCGGAATAATTCCACAAAATATCCAATTTGCCCAGAGGTCACCAAAGCCTGCTATCAAGTGTTCACATGTACACTAGGACTGAAGAAGCTGGCCGACAACTCTCCGTACAGTTATTCAGTCCTGCTATAGCAGACTGACAGCTGATCACTAGGGAGGAAAAAAAAAATTGCAGTTCAGATTGTGTGTGGTTCCAAAGCAGAAGGAGAACCGGGGGTGGTGAGGGCGACGACAAGGAGCCAGAAGGAAATAAATGAGGTAGCAGAAGTTTATCTCTGAGGAAATCATTTTAATATTGCCAGCACTACATTCTGTTTCTGAGGATGCATCCAGTCAATTCCTGAGGCTACAGATAGATTAGTATTAACTAAGAGTTCATTAGGAATCTAAATGCCACAATATCTGTGTAGCGTCTGCATCTTTCCTTTTACAAAACCACTACAAAGAGGAATTATCTCGAGACTTTGGTGTTATACAATTAATTACACTTTTCACTGACACTTAATGCGGACTGAAGTATCTACTCTTTAACTTGATGTTGAAGCTCAACCACTATTAGAAATAACTAAGGATTAGAAAGACATGAAAACAAACAAACACCAACCTTGTTGATATTCCTTACTTTCTCTCTGTCTCTTCTTTTTCTGCTGGGATTGTGGCAGCAACGGCACGATTAGAAGCTCATAGACTCTCGGTTATTATGTATCCATAACAACCAAGACAATAGATTTTACTTTGTATCTGTCACAGGGTGTTTGAAAAACAACAACTGCCTCAAAGAAGAGAAGAAAACATTTTGGATGTGACCTCAACCAGGTGGCACTTAAATATTCATATATATATATTATACCATTTATATAAATATTTATTCATGTACTGTATATTTGAAGCCAATTCTTGTCCAATACTGGGGAGGTACCTGTCCATCAGAGGACCAAGACTTTTCCCACTTACAGTTCAGACTGTCATTCAACCTAATACCACATGTTCTTGAACCGGAGAACATGCAAAATCAACCATAAAGACCGAGAAGTGAACCAGCGACAGGGTGGTCCTTCTGTTGTCAGGTAAAAAGCACTAACCACTTTATCCACTTCAGCTTCAGCCTGTGTGCTTTACTTTTTTTTTCTTTCATATCATCATCACAACCCAATCTGTAGTATTAAACATATGATAATAGATGAATATGTGCTTTTTATTGCAGAGGTCAAATGATGTAAATCGGGGACACAGAAACCCCTCCATAAAGTAGCCCCAAGTCATGTTCCCTCCCTACTGTGTTCTTGAGTCTTACCTTCCTCTTCTTGAAGGCCTGTCGGGCCAAATATCCCCTGCAGGCAGCCTGGAACAGAGAGATGTTCCTCCTGGTCTTAACGTCACGCTGCTCCTCCAGCTTGGAAAGAGTCCCCGCTCTGAAGAAGACCTGCAGGTGGAGAAGAAAGGTTGCAGTCAAAGTCACACACATCTCTTCTCTTTTAAGTAGAGGGCACACAGAGAGTATAGTTCCCCACACAGAGAGGACACATGGAACTTTAAAAATTTTAATGACTAGTAAAAAAAAAAAAAAGATTGAATCCTATAGGGGCTCCCACCTAGCTAAAGAAGGACCTGAAACTTTTCACAGAAACTTTTAATATATTTAAGTTTCTGTTACTGCCTGTAAAAAGTTTGAGAGAAATCCAGGATGCAGAAAATGTGATGGTAATGCAGTGTTTTGAATTGAAAAATTATTTCACCTGTAAATGGATGATTTAAAAAATATCTAAACCATGGCGGTCAAAAATTACACATTCATTTAATTCCTTAATTTGTGACAGATTACATTTGTCTACAAGTTGAATTTGTATCATTTTAACACTTTCAACTCATACATACAGTTGAATAATGTGTACTTTCCATTTATCCATCTATCTCAAATCATTTGCATTTTTACATTTTAGTAATATCTGAACAAATGGACGGTATGAAAGAGAATAAATGAACCAGTATTTGTGGCGTAAGTATTCACCTCCTGAGTTACAGCTTATTTTGATTTGAACTGTTTCCAAAATGTTTCTGCTGTTTTGCATCATTTATGATGCAAAAAAGGGCAGCAGTGCTGAATGCCAATAGAAAAACCCTTTTATAAGACCTCCACCAAAATGCCTCCAACTTTTCATGGCTCGTGTCTGGAGAAAAGGCACCTCTGCTCTGCTCTCCAGCCTCTGAAACAGCCAGGAGGGTTTTAATATGACTGGATTCATTAAGGAGTTTGTGTGAAGCTTTGTCCTTCAGCTGGATGTTCCTTAGAGGAATTTCTAAAACTGGCTGAGCAATGGAAAAAGTATGGCTTGGAATATCACTTAGAAAAAACATGTTTGATACAATGTCCACGATTTCACTTACAACTTTAGAAAGAGTGCAATAAATAATTATAGAGCCTCGGGGAATAACAATTCTTCCCACATTGTCCACTAAACTGTACCCACTGTGGACATACTGTATGCAAGTATCCCAAGGGACTCGGAGTCAAGAGATTATAATCTGTACCTTCTAAATCAGTGGTGGTTGGATTTGTATGTTTTTTAATGCTTTATGGCATTTTTACAGGTTCACTTCAAACACCTGATACTTTTACAATCAACAAAACTCATTTCAACTTTTTAAAGATACATATCTTTACATTAAAGTATATATAAATCTGGTTCTTTTTTTTATCATTTTTTTTCCTTTTTGTCTCTTCATTTGGTATGTGAAAATGTATCCATGCATCGTGATACATGTGTTTGGTTCTTTATTGTGAATTTTATGAAAACCAGTAACCTTTCTGAAGCACAGTTAAGAAACACGGCTCCTCCTTTACGAAAACAAGGTGAACCAGTAACCTTTCCGAAGCACAGTTAAGAAACACGGCTCCTCCAAAAACAAACAACTCATATTTCCTCCTCGCAACCAGTGCGATTCAAGGAATATAAATAAATTCTCAAAAGATGTCAAACAGGGGAGGAGGGAAAAGCATCTGAAGACCACTGCTGTTCTCCTCTGAGACTCATTTGTCACTGCAGGGGTGGTTTAAATGATACCAGGCAGAGAGCCACATACAAGTTGGCAGTGAAGCATGGGAGGTGGTTTGGCAGTGAGAGGTGGTGGTCCACATTCTGTGTGATATGGGCGACACTTTAATAATGCTTCATTCACCACAGCAAAGGTAAAGAACAAAAATAGCTGAAAGCTCTGCATGTTCCACTGGACAGGCAGCATGTATTCATGTGTCTGAGGGCGCCGCTGACAAAGAGCCTGTCTGCACTGTGCCTCACCTTCAGTCTGAATCTCAGCATTTGTTCATTTCATTCTTTTTTTTCCAACACACACAGTTCAGCGGTATTGTTGGATGTAGCCACAGTAATTGGGTTTCTTCTCAGACTTAAACTGCTGGTCCAGGCCTTAAGTATTGACACAAGACACTTTATTGGAACCTAGTTATTGAAATTCTGAATCCCAGTGTGACCTGAGGCAGCAGGTTTGGAGAGCACGGCCTGACTATCTAGGTTGAGGCATCTCAGATTTATCTGAGTACTGTACTGTGTATCATGTACTGTGTATCCTGTACTGTAACCTTACTGCGAACAAGAAGCTGCATTTTCAAAACTGTGGACTCTAAGTAATGTGATAGAATAATGAGACAACAGAATTCTGTACTGTACTGTGGACTCTAAGTACTGTGATAGAATAATGAGACAACAGAATTTAAAATGTGCATTTATCTCAATTACTCTGATCGTATTAAATAACTTTATCAATTGTACGTACACCGTGTAGGATTTAGCTACATCTAGTGGACAAGGTATGAAAGAGAATAAATAAATTAACATTTTATGATATCTTTATTAAGATATGGTGTAGGCACACACATCATAAAAATCATTTTATATTTAAGTTACAGTTTTATTCATTAAAATGAAACTTTTCTAAAAGCCCTCACGGTGCAGGTTTCAAGGCTGTAGCTCTGCTTTTAAAAATTCTAATTAGTGCTGCAGTGTTTGCTTTCTCTCGCCTAAACTCAAACTCATTCAACTTACTGTGTGCACTTATTTAGAGCTAATTGTTCTCCATAATGCATTATGCACAGGGTACAATTAGTGTGTGGGTTGAAAACCCATTTCTCCCACACAGGTGGGTCATATAGCCTTTGACCCATGTTATGTGAAAAACAGAAACCAAAACACACACACACACACACATACAATGTAAAATGACATAAATACAGGTGTTTGTAACAAACCAACACTGAGACAAGGCTAGATTTCTGCCAAGAAACTAATTTAAACGGCAGTCAAAGGCCAAATTGTTCTTTATTCCTCAGACATTTACATATCCTAATTAACAAAACTATCAGCCTGCCTTTTCACCTGTAATTACCTCGGGTATTTTTTTTTATCTAAAAGAGCTGGAGTTAGGCACTATCTGAGTGCAGCTTGGCAGGGGTCACAGAGTGGGAGAGTCACAGAGATCAGTACCTGCCCAAACAATACGC